GATAAATTGCCCCATTGTATCCTAGGAAGTGCAGGCTAGATGTATTATCTGTGATAAATGTCGGGATATAGGGATAGGGTGGGGGACTAGGTCTGAGTAGGACGGTCTTCAGAGGGTTGGTGCAGATTCAATGGCCAAGCAGCCTATTCCTGCATTGTAGGGGTTCTATGACACTATATGTTTTTATAATCCTGCTATGAATCACAGTGGAACATTTCATAACATAAAAGGCTCTACATAAATAAAATTGTTGTCGTTGAAATGTCAAATTCCAAATTTCAGATTTGCTGCCATTGCAAATGTACAAGTGTTTTCTGAGAGATTCTGCAATGAAACCAAAATAAGTAACCAATGTTCTTTTAGAATCCCTCCAGTGTGGAAACAGGCCCTTCGGCCCAACAAGTCCACAGTGACATTCAGCACAACCCACCAGGACCCATTCCCCTATAACCAACCTAATCTACACATCCCTCAACACTGTGGGCAATTAAGCATGGCCAATCCACCTAATCTGCATGTCTTTGGACTGTGAAAGGAAAGCGGAGCACCCGGAGAAAACCCACGCAGACACGGGGAGAATGCGCAAACTCCACACAGACAGTCGCCTAAGGGTGGAATTGAACCCAGGTCCCTGGCACTGAGAGACAGCAGTGCTAACCATTGAGCCACCGAAACCTGTTTATTATTTCTGAATCATTTGGCTGTATTTCTATGCTCACCCAAAAGAGAGATGATATGTCAGATTTTACTCTATTAGGTTTTGACCAAAAAGTTAGAGAGACTGCATACGATGGTACCCAACAGCATTAATTACTAACATACCAAAGCTGAACATTCAAGTTACGCTATTAGTCCAGAACCAGTAGACACAGTAACCTGGATGTCCAATGTACCTCTTAAACCAGACAGTAGAAGTCAGACCCATAAACTGTCTTTTTTCTGCAGAAAACATGCAAGTCAGCCAATCTGATCATCTTGCATGATTCAGGACTATGAGCACAACAGACAATGTCTTGACCCAATTCCTGCCTAGATTGAAGACCAAGCATCTATAGCTAAAAGAAACATAACTGTAGATGCAGAAAGCCTGAAAAACAGAAATTGCTGGAGAAACTCAGTAGGCCTGGGAGCATACGTGGAGAGAAAGCAGAGTGAATGTTCAGATCTAGCGACCCTTCTTCAGAACAGACTCTTCTGAAAGGTCAGAATCCCCAACACTGACTCTGCTTTCTCTTCACAGATGCTGCCAGAACTGCTGAGTTTCTCCAGCAATTTCTGTTTTTCCTAAGCATGTGTAACCGTTTGATTCACGCAATGATCACCATGGTAATTATAAAAACCAAAAGAATTGCGGATGCTGTAAATCAGGAACAAAAACAAAGTTGCTGGAAAAGTTCAGCAGGTCTGGCAGCACCTGTGAAGGAGAAAACAGAGTTAACGTTTCAGGTCCGGTGACCCTTCCTCTAAGGGTCACCGGACCCGAAAACACTGTGGGACCCATGCTCTGCAGCCCACAAGGACAGGGTCTATTATGAGCTCACATATGAATTGGACATAGTAAATTAAAAGTAGCCAGATGTGGCAAAGCAGTTCCCACTGTATTTATTGTATATACTTTTATTTATATTTATTTCATTTATACTTATTTTATTTACTTCAACTGTCAATTTTGCTCCAATGCTTTGCTTTTCATCTTCCCTTCCCCTTGCGAAAGAACAATCTCATGGTTACATTCTGTTCTACACATAGCAGTACATAGTACAAGAAATCATTCGTCACAAACAAGCAGTGACAATAAGTTCAACAATATATTCCAATGCTCACTGGATGGTAAGGAGAAGCAGGGTTCCAGACTGATTGCCCTCCATCCCATGTTCCAAATACGTGGGACAATAAGGTTAAATACATAAATTAACTGGTCTCCTGACTCAGATGAAATAAATCAGCAGATTGGGAATTAGACCTGAGCCTCTCTAAACTATATTTCCTAGCACCATAAAGGCCAAACTACTGAGGCAGGTTAAACAGAAGACATATCGCCCACATTTTTTTCTCTTCTTTTCGACTTTATCCAAAGCCCAGAATTGACTTCAATATCCCCACCAACTTCTGAGGGCAGCTATGTTTCTGTCACACTCGGCAGCGTGCCTTCATTCACCAGGTCATGAAGAAATCTACCAGTAATTTTAATTTCTCAGGGGAGAAGATGGAGCTTCAGGTATTTTCTTTCCATTTAAGCTTGAAGTAGCTTGACATCATGGTCAGAAAACAATTAGAGAAGACAGGAACAATCAAAATTCCTCTCAAATTATGGCGTTTGGATTGAGTTGAACTAAGACTGGATCAGAATGGATCAGTTCAACTAAGGAGGGAGATACAAGGGTGCATCATAAAATGAAGCTAAACACCATATAAATTCACAAATGGCACTCATTTAAACAGCAATCACTTCTTTTAAGTGTGTGTGCAAGAACGTGTTTGACAAAAAAATCTTTGAGTATAATTTATTTAGGAAAGTGCTGAAATTCCTGCCTACAATAATAGGTCTCAGCCAAGTGGAGATGAAACCCAACATTACTGTACTGAATGCCAGAGAAGGCTCAAAAGGCCATATGATCTACTTCTGCTCCGATCTGGTGTGTTCTTGTGCAAAAGGGAGTGTCAAACTGAAATGTTTCAGGAGAGGAAGAATTCTCATGCTTGGGCCTCAACATAAATGACTGGCATCAAATCGCCACCTTTGCTTCATTTTTTTAAACAAAATTAGCGGATATGAAACATGACCAGGCTGAACAAGGCTTTTCCACTCAACCACACTAAACCTCCTTTAAATTAAGGATTTGTCCTTAAATAAAACACTGACCATTGAAACAATCCTACTGTTACATAATGGCAGACAAGTAGTGGATTATTTGTGTCATGGCGTCATGATGAAGGATCAGAACCCTGAAGTATTTAAGGATGTATTCAACTTTTAATTGCAACACGTATTTTTTCAAAGAATGGACATGTAGCCAAAAAAAAAAAAAAAAAAAAAAAAAATTCGGTCGATGTAATTTCTGTAGCTGTTTGGAAGAGAGTCCTGGAACGTCACATTTAAAGGTATCTATCTGGGACTGTAATAACTTAGGAAACACTGCCTAGAAATTGATCATATTAATGATGCAAGAAATGCTGATGCACTCACTACAAAATTTTAAAATTAAAATTGAAAATGAGTGGAGCTCGGGGTGGGAGCAATATGTAGGAGGAAGAGGAAGACAGACAAAATGCAAAAAACAGGGGCCTTGAATCAGCTCTCTACACCATCGTCATAAACAGATAAAATGTACAGCACATAGAAACTATGGTAGATGACATGCAAGTTAAATAGTGGAAAAGCCACTAAACGGACTTCAAACTGTTATTCTGAGGTAAAGTTATCCCATGCATGACAAATATGAATTTGCACGAGAAAGGAATTAGTATAATTACTTAGAATTAGTTCATTAGTATTACTACTATTATAGTGACATCTGAGAGTTTAGTTTTATTTTCCTTCCAGGAACAGCTGAGGTTTGGGACACAGCAATACAATACTGGTATCTATTATTCATAGTAAATTAAAAACATGGTTCAAAATGATAGTGATGTAGTAGAAACGAATAGCCTAAGTTATTAATCTTCCTTCCCCATTGAAATAAGAGCATTCTGTTCAATGTCATATGCTGTACTAAGCTCTATTTATAACAATTCACCACAGTATTTGCTTCTATTAATCAGCAATGAGAGCACAAGGGGGCAATAATGAGTGTAGTGAATGACCATTGGTGAATAACAAAACAATAATGGATTTGAGAGATTCAGACACTATCAAGAAATCGTACAATTGAAACGTGACCAATTTACTTCCACAATTCGAAGACTGGATTAGAGTTCTAAGCTCTTTGTCAACCACTCATTCCACTTAAAAACACTGTGAATTTGTTATACATTTATCAAACAAAAATTACTGAAGGCGATTGGATTTATTTGATTTGCAACTTTGATCTTTAGAAATCTATTTCTTGTGCCATGATTTTTAATTAAGTAGCTGACTTCAGTTATTATTCCTTATGTGTGATCTAAAGCAGCAAGCCTCTGCAGGCTTCTTGACTGTGTAGATTGATTGAAGACGATGTTGTAGTGAACTAATCTACCCACACCCACTATCCAACAGGATTTACTGGATAGTTATGAAGACGGGGTTGATTTTTCACTCTGCTGGCATAGAGGCGGTGGCCATCTGCCCCACCCAGACAGATCATAGCCCAGCTGACATGAAGTAACAGCACAGATCACCAGAGTCACTTTGGCTCAAAGGACACCACTTCTGGCAGCATGCATGATTGAAATTTAATTTGAACACTGAATTATGCACAAACTGTGTCTTTTGCAGGACTTTCACCTGTGATCCCAGTTGTTTACATTATCAGGAATAACAATTCCTCAGTGCCCAATTACTCAACCTTATATTTCCATTCCAAAGATCCAGATTAAAAAAACATAGCTAATAATTATTTAAACCATACAAATCACAAATAAAGAGTCATTCAGTAGTTTTCAAACCATCTCTCAATGCAATATGAGAGGTTAGCAAAGACTTACTCAGAGGCAGGGTTAAATCTGAAACCAGACAAAACACACCCTTGATTCTTCTTTACCTTAAATCTAATTGTCTTAGTGATCAGCCCCGTAACCACTTTTCTATAAGGTGGGATAAAACAAGGCAAAGGTAGTGAGCAATAACATCAGGTAAGACAAAGCATCCCGCACAATTAAAAGTTTGAAAGGAACCTGCTTTTACATAGCACCTTGGCACACAGCAAGATACCCAAAGGTGCCTTATAGGAGATCCATCAGGCAAAAATTTGGAGGCACACGAGGGCAAAAGGCAGAAAGCCCAAAAGAAGAAGTAGGATTTTCACCAGCCTATGTTGTTATTATAAGGAAAAAAAGAAGGGCTTATTTGTTCGCTGTACCTTCAAGTCTTGAGTTCTGTTGTTGCGGGATGGGCAGGCAGCATCTGCTGGAGTAGCATCACCTTGCTGCCTGAGCGCTGCATCAGCACCAACTCCCAGCTTCGGCCCCTGCTCCTCATCCAGGGGCAGTTCGTCAGACTTGCACCGCTTCATCTGCAAAATAAAAGGGAGGTGGTGGTGGGCTAAAAGTGGGATCTTGCTGTATTCACCCAGTAAAGCTCCTACAGAAACGAGAATCAAAAGAGAAAACCCTGAATTAAACATTACCAGTGACTTAAAAAAACGTACTCGCCCATCCATGTCAATCTTCCATCCCAATTACAAGATGAAATTAAGACTTTGAGGAAAATTTTCATGGCGACACCGCCTTTCGATTTCCAGCAGGAAAATTACCTCGGCGGCTAAAATGCACAATAGTTTGCCTCATGAATTTACAAATCCAGTGGATTTAAGTAACCGCCGATAGAAATTTACATCATTTTTTTTTAACCGCCATCACCAAAGCCCCTTCGACGAACCACCATCTGACTGAGAGGAACAGCCATGTCCGCGGGCTGGGGCGGGGGCGGGACTAAACAAAACCCCGCCCCCTTCGCGTCGCCAACCAAACCTGCCCGCCTACCGGAAGTGTCTGCCGATGACGACTGACACGCTCGCTACCCAATCGGAAGCGGGAGATGTGTGAGAAGGTGTGGGTGGGGCTTGTGGGACCACATTCAGGGTAGGTTGCAGCCACGGAGGATTTTTTTTCTCATTGCCTTACCCCTCCCACTCGTATGGATGGAGAGATAGGAACTTGCCTCTTCGCTGGAGCTCATCTGCACTACATAGGCACGTAATGCTGTACAGCATATAGTAACAATAACTTGCATTAATGTGGCGCTCAGGGAGCTTACAGGAGAGTGATGTCCCAAATTTTGGTCTTTGGCCCTGATAAGGCAACGTCAGGGGTAGCTGGTCCAAAACCTTGGCCAGTGACAATTGGATTTATAATTTTCCTTTTCAGATAGTAGTTTCACAGGGAGAAGGTGGAGGAATGGCAGTAGGTGCATTACTCATTCAGAGGGCTGGCACAGTCATGATGAGCTGAATGAGCTGTAACAATTCGGTGAATTCTGTGAGGAGGTGGAGGTGAGATGTTGGTTGAGGAGCTTTGCGATGAGAGATTGAAGCGAGGAATTTCAGAGCCGGGAACCCAGCCAAATTAAGTCACTGTCTCTGAGCTGGGGTGGAGTGATTTAAATTGGAGACACGCAAAAAGCCACAACACGTACATATTACATATCAAATGGGAATCAAGGGATGTGTTCCGCCTCTCTACCACTTGGTAAATATCTATTTACCAATATACTTAAATATACTTAACAGATTTTCAGAAGTTTTTAAAGACAGGATATGAAGGAAATGTTGGCCTTTATCTGAAATGGAATGTAGTATAAAAATAGAGAAGTCTTGCTAAACTATACAAGGCATTTGTCAGACTACAATTGGAATACTGTAAACAGTTTTGGCCCCTTTATCTAAGGCAGGATATACGTGGCATTGGAGGCAGTGTAGAGAACATTCACCAGGTTGATCCCAGGTATGGGGGGATTTTCTTATGAGATCAGATTGAGTAGCTAGGCTTGAACTCATTGGAGTTTAGAAGAATGAAAAGCAACCTTATTGAAATGCATCTTAGGGGACTTGATAGGAGAGATTGTTTGTTCTTGTGGGAGAGTATAGAACCAGAGGACATTTTAAGTGCAGTCGCTTGTGCTGTGGCAAAATGCAGTCCTTACTTTGAAAACAGGCCCCGCCAACAGCAAAGAGATCAATTGCTAATAAGCTATTTTAAGAGACATGTTGATTAAAATTTAATAATTGATCACTCCTCTTTAAATAGTACCAGAGGAACTTTTACGTTCAAACAGTCACATTGAGGTACAGATTGGAATACTGCTGAAAAGAGAGGCATGTTTTTCTTATACTCTTGAGGAAAACTCAAGAATATCAAATTTGAAACAATCACAATGTAAGCCTTGTACCTTTTCTGAATTCCCAAAGAGAATGGGGACCTATCCATTTTGTTTTCTGCATGTTAACATCCAAGTCAACTTGTCAACCAATCAGCACCCATTTCTCCTCTGGCATAAATTCTTGTGATCATTTGAAATTTTGCATTCTTGTGTTTATCCTGAAGACAAAGGCTTCGACTCAAGTACTGTACTACGAACTAATCATAGAATTGTTAGAGCACAGAAGGAGGCCATTTCAGTGCATTCATGATCCCAGTCACTCACTTTTGAAAAAAGATTTCTTTTTGTGCCTGTTATGGTTCTCTGCCAATCATCAAGTTGTTGCTTCTGATTGTTGACTTTCTGCTAATGTGTACAGTTCCTCACTGTTTAGTCTGTCTAGATACCTCATACTTTTGAACATCTCAATCAACCCTCCTCATCTCCAAAGATAACAACCACAGCTTCTACAATTATCTATGTAATTTAAGTTCCTTGTACCTGATCTATTCTTAAAAATCTTCTGTGCATCTTTTCTAATGCCACCACATTCTTTTTTAAAGTGTGCTGTCCAAGACTGGACACAATACTCCATTAAAGGTCAAACCAATGTTTCACATAGTTTTATCACAACATCTGTGTTTTTATACTTTTTGTTCTTATTTGTAAATCTTAGGATATTGTATGCTTTATTAACCATTTTTTCAATCTGCTATTATCAGCTTTAATGATCTATGTACATACATCCCCATGACCCTCTGTGGCCTGCACACCCTATAGAATGGTATGCTTTAATTTATGAAGTCTTTCCTCATCCTTCGAAATCAAAGCATTTCATACTTCTCTGTGTCAAATCTCATTTTGTGCCTGCCATTCCATAAATCTGTCTATGATCTCCTGAATTTTACCACTATTCTCAGATTACACAATAATTCCATGGTTTGTAACATCTGCAAATTTTGAGGTGGTATCCTATGCACAGCAGCTGAGCCAGTAAGATGTATCAAAAGAGTAACATAACTGATAACAATCTCTGGCAAACGTAACTAAAATGTTTCCTCCATTCCAAAAGAAGCAATCATCCACAACTACTCTGTTACCTGTACCTCAGCCAATTTTATATCCAAGATACTACTGTCACATTTGTTTCCTTACCTCTAGCTTTGCTAATAGGTTTGATATGTGGAACCAGATGCCTTTTGGAAGTCCATGTACACCACATTGACTTCATTATTCTCATTACTCTCTAGGTTACCTCACCAAAAAACTTAAATATGGTTTTCCCTCTATAAGTCTATGCTGGTTTTCCTGAATTAATCAAGATATATTAAAACATTCAAGACGTGGGCCTGGTGCTGAAAAGTGGGGCTAGTGTAGATTCAGTGTAGCTTTGGCAGTATAGACTTGATAGACCATAGGGCCTCTTCTGTATTGTATGATTCTATTAACTTGAATACTACTGAACAGACAAACATGTTGATGGAGATCCTTGTCTTGTGTGTGTCCAAGTGATTGTTAATGTTGTTCCAAATTATTGTTTCTCAAAGCTTTCACATCACCAAGGTTAAATAAACTGATTATACAATTACTGGGTTTATCCTTGTTCCTTTTTTTGAAGAAGAGTGTAACATTTGAAATTCTCCAGTTCAGTGCTGACACCACCTCTGTATCTAATGAGGATTCAAAGACATGGTCAATGCCTGTCCAATTTCCTTACTTCCCTCATCCAGACAGTCAATCTAATACATTCTCCTAAAAAAAATTTTAGTCTCTCAAGCCTCCAACGACCCTCTCCTCAATCATGGTTTCACCAGCACCTTCTGGGTTGCATGGGGTGGCACGGTGGCTCAGTGGTTAGCACTGCTGCCTCACAGTGCCAGAAACCCTGGTTCGATTCCATCCTCGGGTAACTGTCTGTATGGAGTTTGTGCATTCTCCCCATGTTTGCATGGGTTTTCTCCATTCACTCCTGTTTCCTCCAAAGGTGTGCAGGTTAGGTAGATTGGCCATTGGAAATGCAGAGCTACAGGGATAGGATGGATACTGTTCAGAGCGTTGGTGTGGACTCAATGGGCCAAATGGCTTGCTTCTACACCGTAGAGATTCTATGATTCCATGATTCTTCCTTGGTTAAGACAAATGTGAAGTACTCATTTTATACTTTAGCCATGCCCACTGCCTCGTTATTAAATCCTTTTTAGCACTCCTCCAGAATCCAGTTCTCCTTTGAAACTCATTTACTATTTATAGTATTACATTATTTACGGTATAGTTTTGGATTTCTGTGTATAAAGAAGCCTATTTTTAAGGCCTATTTATTTAGACATCTAAATTTATGCAGTTGACCACAAAAAGATGAAGAACGCAACTTAAATCATAATTTTAAAAAAGCATTTAACAAACATATTTATGATGTGAAAATAGAACATGTATATAATAGTTTAAGTATAACACGATAAGCAATTAAAATGGGTAGCATGCGAAATCTGCAGATGGGTGGAATGAATATTGATTGGTTGTCGTCGCAGGCATGGTGTCATTACGGGTGAGAAAACTCAGAGTAGATTTATTTGAATCGTCCCTGAGGATGAAATCAATTAATATTGTGTATAGCCACAGAGACTATTAAAGTAACTTTTCAAATTGAATGCTTTAAGTGAGAGTTAATTAATATTATGAAGTAGTGACGTAACACTGGTTGGTTTGTGTCCCTGACTATTGTTTTTCTCTTTGGTATTTTGTGTAGTTTAATGAGTGTGTGTGTGTGTGTGTGTGTGTGTGTGTGTGTGTGTGTGTGTGTGTGTGTGTGTGTTTTGTGTTTATTACAATGGTAACTGTATTTTTAGAAAGCTCGTATGTGTATCCTATTTCCTACTTCTCTCTGCTGAAGGCATGAATCCAAATCAAAGTCAGCAGGTTATCGAGCCGAAAAGCCAATTCCAAATATGCCAGTCCTGATGCAGAGTTTTGACAGTTATTCAACTGGCAGGGTGAAATAGACAAAGGACAGGAGATTAATGATGAATTTAAACCAGAGCCTGAAATCTTGACATAAACAGCCTGAAGCTTCATTGTCTTTTCATTTTTTACCCTAACCTGAGAGTTTTTAGAAAGATATATAATTTTATGTTCTTAGGATATGGCCAGTGCATATTTATTTCCTATAGCAAGTATCACTAAGACAGCTACATAGTGTGAGATTGAAATGACATGTAAGCCAAATCAGATACGAAAGACAATTTCCTTATTCTAAGGGACATTAATTTCCTTTTCCTGAGGAATATTAGTAATCCAGCCAGATCTTTGTAACTATTCCAACCAATTTCATGTGAATTTTCTTTCATAACGTATGCTGGGAATTGAACTCACAAAATGTGGTTTGCTTGTCTAATTAAAAAAAAACTCCAACTACTGCACTAGAACAGGAAGTCAGAGTAAACATGGCCAATGAAAAGAGACAGGGATTTGTATAAAATCCTTCACATCCTCAGAGCATGCCAAGACACTTCGCAGCCAATGACTTTTTTTTTTAAGTGTAGTTACCATTATAATGTAGGAAAC